ATTTTGCGTTCTCTCTCCGAGTGCACCATGACTAACGCACGTTTGTAAACGATCGGGTAGAAAATCGAGTCATTCTAGTGCTTCTGAGGACCTACAATAAACCCCGGATAGTAGATCAAAAATGTTCTCCGCGTTCGGTTCATGAACAGAACAAGAGGTGTGAATTGTACCATAAAAAAAAAATGAAAAAGCCGTCATGGCTGTTTACGAGCACGGATCATACTGTCTCACACGATCAACCGATATCCCTCAGAGATCCAAGCTCTACAAATTCGGTTATGATCGGGAGGAAATCATTACTACTCGAGAATCAGCACTCCGAATATTTTAGCTGAAATCTACTGAGAAATAATCTATTTTTGTAAATAATGCTCAGATGCGCAAGGGCTACTGTTATTGTTATAATTACACAGGACTATGCCCTGGGATGAGGATAGTTATTTACTACTCACAACAACAGTCACACGTTATCGGCATACATTGGCGTACATACCAGAAAATGTCTCAATTGTAACAGGTCTTCCGAATTCCCATAAACACATAGGATAATTAGTGGAACTGTCCGAGGATGGCTGCGCATTTCCCGTGGTTACCATTTTGAACATGGGCAATTCGTTCTACCGAGACATGTTCATTTCGGACCGTTAAGAGAAACAGTCAATCATTCTTTTTTGCGCAATCCAAACATACTACTTACAACACTATCACCCACTGTCTCTAAGCCTCGCGTTGTTTGGTCACTAAGTTATGGAATGGAATCACTCTTCGGATTTTTTTGCTGTGTCGGTTTCATGCGGACCATGTGAAATAAATGGAACATTTTATTTTCCCCACAAATAGGAATAGAGTGAATGTGCCAAACTGATGCTAGCATACATTCAGTGTAACAATGTTGTTTCCGGTCCAATGTTGGTGTTTGTCAGAAGTGTCGGTTCTTCAGGAATGGCTCTCGATATATTGTTCACCGGACACAAATCACATTTGGGACGGGAATGAATCGTATGCGTTTATATATACGCTTGAACCAATCAGATTGTCCGGTTTGCAAAACAACGGTTTTATATGGACCAATCATACAAACGCAATTGATGCGGTAAAACAAACAATCAATCCAAATGACACTTTCCAACGCAGCTTTGATAGTTGCTGATTGTTGCACAACGTGGAGCTTTTCCTCCGGGAATATTTCAGACGTATCCCTGTTACAAGTTCACCCTGTTAGTTTGGTAAAACATTCAAAGACGACCTTTAGTTCATTCAAAACTTGTTCACGACATGTGCTACCGGTGTGATTTGTCCGCTCGCATCTCTTGTCAGGTTTGTTATCGCTCGAAC